AGCAAGAGAGATGGTGAAAGCGCCATGTTTAGGCTTGAGCATGTCAAACGCTATCAAGATGGGCATGAAAATAGCTGAACCTCTCAAAAGCTTTGTCATTAAAGAAACGTGCTATCCCCAATGAACAGCTTGCCAAGGCCAGATAAGCAGCATGCAAAGCAGAAAACAATGCTTCTGTATTTGTTTATTCAGGAAGTTGCTCTTAATTCATTTGCTTATAATCACCTGGAGATTGCCATTGCTGGCCCATTGGCTGGTTGGGACTGGTCTGCTCTTAAAGTGTTGAGTTGACTTTCCCTTCGCTAATTCTTGCAGCTTCGGTTATCAATACTCTTGCTTGCTGGTGAGCACTTAGGGTCACTGCTAATGAGGTGAAGGCCATACACTATAAACCTCACTAAACAGTGAGCTCATTGTATTCATAGTTACAATCTAGATGCCTAATCCCAAGTAAACATCCTTCAGTTGAATACATGTGTTCAGGGCCAGCACAAGCCCAGCCTCTACTGGAGAAACAACTCCAAGCAGTGTCATTTCAGTGTATATCTTGGGGTATGAATCACAAATCACTGTTATTATTCAAAGAATAAACGTTGTTCTATTTAAGGACAGCCTGATCAACAGTATTCCCAGCTCTCAAGCTTTCCTTTTTTTTTTTTTTTTTATGGCTGGTCCTCTCTGCTTTTACAGGCTTCTTGCCCGAAATGACTTTGGTTGGAGAGTAATACCAAAGGCGCATCCTCACATTATGCAACACTCCTCTGATTTTGAGGGGGTCTTTTTTTTTACATGGGATTCATTTTCTTAATTTTATTGCTTTTTTCCCCCTCTTAATAAAAGTCACATATATGCAATGTAGAAATAACAACAACAAAAAAAAAAACAGAAAAATATAAGTTAAAAAATTCAACCTCCTTTGGTCAATGTGAGAAGAATTTTGTAAAGGGTCTATGACTGAATGATAAAGCAGATTTTCACCTTTAAGTGATTTAATTAAATTATGGACAGTCCTCTGATTAGATTCTGTGTAGTAAGAATGATTCATAGCTATCTCCTCATGCCATTGTTTTTACCTAGTTGTTTATTTTAAAAATTATTATGGCTTTTTTTTCTAGCATAAATATCAATCTCTGCTGAAGAATGCCTTCAGATGCTTTTCTACATATCATAGTTTAGAATGTATCTTTTAGAATACTACTGTCATTAAATATCACTGTCCTTGTAATTGAAGAGACTGTGGTAATTCTGGAAGTTAAATATTTCAGAAAAATGCATAAATAAGAATAATATTTACCACTTGAAATCATTGCACTGTATACCTTAAACATATGCAGTCCAGTATGTCAATTATATCTCAATAAAACTGAAACAAAAGATTTACACAAGCATATAAGTATTGATCACTTAAAGAGGTTAAAAGGAATTAGTAAATTTGAGCAGATAGGACTGTTTAACACCCAAGATCCATAATTATTAAATATCGCCACTAATCATGGTTGTGAAAAACTTTATTTCAAAGTTTTGGTGTGATAGATAAATGATTTTTTTTTTAGATTTTTTTTTATTGGGGAATTGGGGGGATGGGAACAGTGCTGGGGAATTGGGGGAAGGGGAACAGACAAGTTGCTGTCGCTTTGCTCTTCAATCTAGTTGTGGAGGACATTGCTTCACTGGCCCATGTCGGCACCATCATTGCGCTCTTCCCGGGCGAGGCACATCAGTCGCCAGCTTCCGGATGGCCGCTCACTGAGGATGCTGGGCGCTCACGCTGGCTGGCTACACACAGTAGCCCATGGCAACCCACTGCCACAGAGGCTGCAGCCTATGCCGTCGTCGGTGACCCATGACAGCCCAGCTCCAGGTCGAGCAGCTGTTCAGCATCTTAGCTGCGGAGGGCAGTGTAACTGGCCCTCACATGCGGGATCCGAACCAGGGACCTCTGGCATCCCAAGCCAGTTCTTAACCGTTGCGCCACTTGGCCGGCCCGATAAATGAATTTTAAACCATTTTCATCTTTGTTGCTTTGCCTTGGTAGCAGCAAATTTTAATTATATTTCTACTCTAACTAAGTCAAAGTGGTAGGACAACTGATTGCATCCCACATTTCTACATACATTAGGAAAAAGAAACAGATATTTCCACCACTCTGAAGCAGAAGAGCTTCTTTAGCAGATGATTTTCAATTCTAGTCCAATTCTAAAATGTCCAAAGAAAGGGAGGCAAGAAAATAGAATGGGAAGGGAGGAAAGGAGCAGCTAGTGTTTACTTCATTAACTTAGGAGAGCTTGGTAGCAAAAGGATCTATTCATAGCAGGTGGTCAACTCTTCCTTTATAACTGGGAATCTCCCACAAGGGCCAGTATATCCTCCTGGCACTGAGGGAAGGAAATACTACATGCACAACTTCTGACTTGGGAAAGAGTGATCTGCTGCCAGGAGCTGGGTACCTTGGGCAGTACTGCCTGGCCAAGTGCCAAGCTATGCTAAGGGAAGTTAGGGTTCTTGACCTGGAAAATTGCAGAATGGTGGGGAGACCCTCGAGTCTTGCATTTCTCAGAATCTGGATGAAAGTGTATACATGTATTACATTACCAGTGTAATAGCAGTCCAGTAACCTCTCCTTCTGTTTCATAAGGAGGCTTGTGTGCCTTAACCCCTGGGAAGAAGAACCAGAAGACTTGTTTTTTTCCTTGTTCACTTACAGATTATCCGTGTGATCTTGGGCAAATCACTACAATGTTCTGGGTGTTTAGTTTCCTAAGGAGAGGAATGCAGTCCTTTCCAACTCTGACACTCCATGATTCACTTCATTTGTGGGATTGCTGCTGTGTTACTAGTCCTGAGCACGCTGTACAAGCTGAGAATTGCTGCTGGTTGGTTTCTTCGGGCTCCTTTGGAGCCCACAGACTCCAAGTTTTAGAATACAAGCAGGTGCATACACTACCGCTTCATGATTTTTTAATTCCATTTTACTCACAACAACACTAATACTTACTTTTTGGACTGCGGAGGCAACAAAAAAGTCATCTACATAAAAAAAACGACACATCACTCAAAGCTTCCTTGAAGTCTCCTTTCTGTTTGGATGGTCAGTAGCCTTTGATCTTCAGATAAGAAAGGCCCAAACCTATTAATGCCCCAGCTTGTTCCTCTTTTCATGTCCATCAGATTTGTCAGTGAAGCATCATTCAATCCTGTGGCTCAAGGTAGAAACTAGGAGACATCCCGCCCCCGCTCTATCCCTCAACTTTCCTGTCCCGTCCATCACCAAACCTGCAAATAGTTCATCTACTTCTCTCCATCTCCAATATTGCCAGGCCTTGCCCAAGCTGCCATCACCACTCAGCTGAGCTAGTGCACTAACTTCCCAATGGTCTCCCACACCCCTTCCTCGTCTGATCTCCCACCTAGTCTCCCCATTGTAAAGTAATCATTCTAAAATAGAAATCATATCACTCTCATGTTTAAAACTCTTAAAGGGGTCTTCCCATTGCACTGACAATGATGTTCAAAATCTTCACTCTGGTGCCCAAGACCTTATGCGAGCTCTCTAGGTTCCTCTCACACCCCTCCCCTATTTGATCACTACATTCCTAGCACCATTTCCTCCTCAAAGCCTTCCCGTGTCTGGCACATGCTCATTGCCATCCTCACCTGGCTAATTCCTACTCATGTTGTAGCTCTCCACTTGAATGACATGTCGTGAGACAAAGCTACCTGTCTCTCCCTCCCCCAAATAAATCATGTCCCTTTTACGATCATCACAAATTGCAAGCATGTGTTTCATTGTTTTCTTACAACTCCCTCCCACATCTGCTTTCTTCACCACAGTATCCCAGTGCCCACCACAGAGGCCAGTCCACTGTGAGCAAATGTTTGCTGAATGATTCGCCAAGTGAGAGCCTGTTAGTGAAAGTTCCTTTCTTCTGGTCACTTTATTTCCACATTAGAATCTATTGTCAGGAGCAATGCCGCAGATGATAATGTCTTGGCACATTTTTTACTTTTTCAAGAGCTCTCCCTACAAAGAGCCTTTTGGTTTTGGCCTAGGCAGGCCTTATTTGAATGTTGCCATCCTTTCTTCACATGCTTAAGGATGCATAAAGTTTAAGACATTGCTGTAAGCAGGTCTGAAATTTACAAGCCAGCAGGATAAAATTGATGTTGACCATTATTTTAACCTTGGTTAGATGAATCAAATTTAGGAATAACTGATACTTTAAAGTCAAGTTCCTGTTTCCTAGAGCGTTGATGCACTGGCATTTGCTGACAGTTCAGTAGAGAGAGCCCGTGTAGGCAGAAAGTAGGTACTTTTAACCTTCTAAATAGAAGCCATAGCACACTCTGTGCCAGGGTACCAAGAATTTAACATTCCACTCCTACAGGCCTCCCCCACTTCCCAGCTTCAGCAAGGTGGTTTTTAAATGAGAAGTGCATCCGGAGTGCTCTGTGTAGGTGGTGGAGTGGGAGAGGTGAAATGTAAGCTTTATTTTCCCGACTGCCTGTCATCCAGTTCTCTGCTTTCCTCTGACATTCATGAGTGATGAGGTCATCCCAGCGCAGGAAAATCAAACTCCTATTTCTCAAGCCCAATAAAGGCCGGTATTGTACGTCTACATAAACAGAGGTCAGGCGGGTAGGGTGGCAAGAACACTAATGGCCCGCCCTCTGGCGGTCGCCTGGGACAGTTGTGCCCTGCGCTCCACCGAACAAGGACAGGGAGACGGAGAGGGAGCGTGCTAAAATGTAAGTTAAAATTAGATCAATAGTCAGCTTGGCTCTCTCAATCAGTGCTTTGCAGGGAGAGTGTACAACCGTCTATTTATAAGCTAAACCCGGCATTATCTTCCTCTTTTAGGACGCCAGGATCCATTACTGCGCGCGGCAGGGGAGAGGATGCTGCAAGGAGCTGATGCGTGCCGCATTACAGCCTCGGTGGCTTGCCTGGGACTTCACCCAGCCTCCGACCCCGCGNGGGGGCACACACTCCTACAGGCGGTGGCCCCCCTGCTCTCTACAGGACTCTTTCCTTCTGGAGTGCCCACCAATGACTCACTCCCGTCCATTCCTTACCTTTAAGGGAATCTTTAGCCTTTGAACAGAGACCAAAAAGGCAAACAATTATCAGAGGCCCTCCTGTAGGTGCAGAGCTCACACTGGCTGCTTCTGACCACGCAGGGCGTAACTGCCTGTTGACAAAGGTTGCCAACCAACTTCCCCAAGGGTTTGTATTACTTAGTGCTTGCTCAGACAATTGTTGCTGTAAAGAGCTACAACCCCTCTCCTCCCTGGTCAGAGCAAGGCTGAAAATGGGTTTACAGCAATCTGACTGCATAAGGCCTTGGTGAAATGGACCCGCCTCCATCCAGCCCCTGGCACACCGAGACATGTGGGTATTCCCTGGCCCATTGGCCTTTCATATATGAAGAAAGGCCATACCTGGCATTTGTGTTAAAGTTGTTAAATTGTTTTCAGTTTTGAAAGATGGTACAGAAAAAGAGAAAAATCGGGTACAGCACAATGTCCTGGGAAACACAGATCAAATATTTCTGGGGAAAAAAATAGGTGTTGTAATCATACATATATGTAGCATATTTTATATTACATTCCACATATTTATACTTTTGCTTTTCTCTATTATACAACTTTCTTTAATAAGCCTATATTTACCATAGAAAAACTTTAAAAAGCCAAAAAATTTTAATTAGCTTAAAGAACATGAGACATATTTTTAGAGTTAATTTTTTATTGTTTGATATAAGAGGATTTTGAACCAAAGAAACTGAAATATTCTTCATTTAGAAACAACCTTTTTTCTCCTCTTCAAATTCTTGTTGGCTTACCTCTAAAATATCCCCTTCACCTGTCCCTTTCTCCCCACTAGATGGCTCCTAGCTTAGTTACAAGTCACCAATTCATTACCCTTCCCCTGGGTCACAAAAACAGCATCATATCTGGTCTTCCTGGGTTTGCTTTCCCAACTGCAGTCTATACCTGCCCCACACAGCTACCAGATTGCTCCTCTACAATGTAAATCGGATCATATCTCTTGTCTTCCTAAAAGCTTCCTTGACTTCCCATTACACCTCTTTTAATCCCTGAATTCTTCACCATAACTAAAATGTGGTGTGTGATCTGGACCCTGGTCACCTTGCTCACCGCTTGTCATCGCATCTCACCTTCTCACTTTTTGCCATAGTATGCTTCTACATAGCATCTTCTTTCTGAGCCTCAAGCTCACCAATTCTTAGCCATTCCTCTTCCCTCTGTGAGGAAACTCTCAGAAGATCTTATCATTCTGCCTTGTTCTCATCATTCGTCTTCAACTCAGATTTCAGAGACCTTAGCTGACTACCTCCTGTCCCTCCAGAACTCATTATCACACTACCCTGTTTTATTTTCCAACACAGCAGTCGACTGAAATTGGTTTGTTCCTCTATTGGATTATGAACTTAGTCTCCCTTTTCATACATTAGAATGTAAGCCTCATGAACACAAGCTCCCTATCTTTCTTGTTCATTACTCTTTCTTTCGGTTCTCTAGAACAGTGCCTGGCCCATAGTTGGTGTTCAGTGTATCTTTATTGTATAAGTTATTGGATGTGATTTCCTAGAATGTCTAGCATGATGCATAGTCTGCCTTAAATTTTATAGTTAGTTTTATACCCATATGCTTCTTCCTCTCAAGTGTGGACTCCCTAGGGCAGGATGATGTTTACTTCATTTTATTCTCTATGGTCTTATGGAGTCTGGCATATTACAGGTGTTTAATATATTTACTGGATTAAGTTGCATGCAGTAAATGAATGGGTAATAGGCTGATATGTTATAACTTTACCCCAGATTTAGCCTTTACCAGAAAAAATACAAAAATATTATGATATCCAAAGGGATAAATTATTGCTTTGATCCTTATAACACCACACACACACACACACATTTGTTTTCAGTATTTTCAGAGAACATGTATATCCATGATTTTATTTCATCTTAATTCCAGCTCTGTGAGATGGGCTTTATGATCTACACTTTACAAATGTAGGAGCTGAAGCTTAGGGGCATGATTTGACCTGCTCACGCTTGTAGAGCTAATATGAAGCAGAGATGGGGCTAGAGCTTGCTAATTTCACTCACTCACAAATATGCACACATAAAAGCATACACACATACATGTCCACCTTCACCAACACCCTCCCTCCTCAACCATGTTTGTGGTTTGGATCAAATGGGATCATCAATGCAGAGTACCTTGAATGGAGTGTGTATGTGACAGGTCCCCAATAAATGATCATTCCTCCCTCTTGCCGGTACCACGGTTGCCATGATCTTCCCATCCCAATGGAGAATGCCTGTCTTCACTTTGTCCTTTTTCTTACTACACTGATCTCCGGGATCGTCCTTATTGTGAAATTTTAATATGAATGTTAATTAGATACCTTCACAGCTCTGAGCAGTACTAAATGGATTTTTGCTAACTGGCAACCTATTGCTCTTTCGTCTTTTACTCTGAATTCAAAACAATGAGAAATACTTGTGAATACCTACCAGAACACAGTTTAGCTTAGGTTATACAGTTCAGCGTCGATGAGGATATGGCACGTAAAATGCCAAAGCTTATCAGTCATAAACAAACACTAAACACAGCACAGCCAGAAGGGTCAGGTAATGTGCAAAATTAGTTTTACAACAGGCAAAATAAATTAAGAACCCATTCTGATCATTCATTTATTATTTATTGAGTGCACCAAGTATTTATGTTATGGGCCAAGCACTGTACTAAGTGGTGGGAATGCAGAGGCCAGCAAAAATTGATGAGGTCCCTACCAATATGGTTCTAGTAGAAAAGGTAGACTTAAATCAGAGAATCATGCAACAGATATCAATGCTGTGAGAGGGCAAAACGGGAGGAACTGACATAGAGGAGAATTTCTGAAGGAAGTGATGACTAGGCTGAGCTATGTCATGACATCAGGTATGACACAATACCTCCAATGGCTACTAAAGAAGGAAAGGGAGGAAGAAATGATTCAATAAGTAAATAATAATAATAGTGACTAACTTTTAAATTCTTTCATTCAATATACTGGGAGTGCCAAAAAAAAGGAATACAAGTGGACACTTTGATCAACGTTGCTCAAGCAGTAGTTCGCCATAATCAGAAGTGTCTGGACACTGATGGTAACCACTTTGAGCACCTCTTGTCATTGCAGAAGTCAAACGTGACTTGTGTTCATCTTTTGTTATCGGTATATATTGAGTATTACAATTTTAATAGTTTTCCTTTCTTAAAATGTGTATACATTTTTTGGTACCCTCTGTATATTTCTTGAGTGCTCACTATGTGCCAGGAAGTGGTCTAAGTGCTGGGAATTATAGTAATGGTCTGAGACAAATGCCTACCTCAGTGGCTTCCATTGTAATTGGGGGGGGGGAGAGAAAGGCATACAATAAACTACATTAAGCTAATAACGAATTCTAATAGAAAAGGATGTTAGATGGTGATTTCTGCTAAGGAGAAAAATAAACCAAAGAAGTAAGATAAGAAAGTGAGGTGGGATGGGGTAGTGAGGTACAATTTTACATAAGGTAGTCCTGTAATAATACATTTGAGCAAGACCCAACAGTGATAAAGGAGCAAGTGATGCTGATCTGAGAGGCGAGGGAGGTGACTGCAGAGGGAAGAACTCTCTAGGAGGAGGACTGTAGAAGTACAACGACCCTGAGACAGCAGCATAACTGACTTGTTTGAGGAAGCACAAGCAGACCAGTGTGTCTAAAGTAAATAGAGTAAGCAAGGGAGTAAGCAGTTGATGAGTTCAGAGACATAATGGGTCCTAAGGGACCTTGTAAGTGATTGTAAAGATTTTGACTTTAAGTGGAATGAGAAGACATTGGAAGTTTTTGAGCAAATGATTGACATTATCTGACATGTTGTAATAGTCACTCTGGCTGCTGTGTTGAGAGCACTCCTTATGTTTCAGGCAACGAGCGAAGTGCCTTAACAGATGATCTCATTTTTCTTCACAATTCTGAGAGGTACCCATTTTAAAGGTGAGAAAACCAAGGTGCAGGGAGTTTAAGTACTTACTCAAGGCCACATGGCTAATAACTGACAGAGCTGGGATTAACAGCCAAACGGTGTGAGCCTGGCACCCCAGCCATTAGCCACAATATCGGAGCCCTCCCTCGGGGAGACTGAGACAGGGTGGCAGTGAGAATAACAAGAGTACCTGTCATTATTTGAGGGTCTTCTAGTCACTGCTGTAGCTTTTCTCATTAATTTTGTTTCTCTTTCACATGAACCCTATCAGATAGGTATTATTGCCTTTTTATTATAGATAAGGGAACTGGGATTCAGAGCAGCTATGTAGCTAACCTAAGTTCAAACAGTTTCTAATTAGAAGTTAGAATTCAAACCCAGGGCATTTTGTCTCCAAAGCTCATGCCTCACTGCCTCCCAAGTAAGTATGTTAAACTTTAAAATACATTTAGTATAAAAAGCCCATAATGGAGTCTTGTGTGTGTGTGTTTTTTTTAACCCATTCTATCTTTTTTTGATGAGAGTGTTTAGTTCATTTATTTACATAGTTACTGAAATAGTTTAATTTTATTTGTTATTTTTTCTATTTTTCCCATCCCTTCTTTGTTCCTTTATTCCTCCTTTTCTACCTCCTTTTGAAGTAAATATTTATATTCCATTTCCCCCTCTATTAGCTTTTTGTTTTATATTCTTGATTTTCTTTTAGCTTTTACCCTAGAGAAGCAATACGCCTTCCTAACTTCTCAATACATATCTTAAGTTAGTATTTTTACCACTTCATAAATAATGCAAAAAACTTACAACAGGTTAGCCTTGTTTTAGACAGTCCAGTTCCTTGTGATATTATTTACAATTTTATCTCTATTTTATGTTCTCACAAATTTTTCTTATTTTTGTTTTGAAAGGTCAATATATTTAAAATAGTTATACACATATTTATCCTTCATTGTGCTTTTTATTCCTTCCTAAAGTTTAATATTTTCATCTGGGAATATTTTCCTTCAGCCTGAAAATTTCCCTTTAGTAAATCTTATAGTGGAGATAAACTCTGCCAGGATTCGTTTGTGGGAAACTATTTTTATTTTGGCTTATCTTTTGAAGTATATTTTTTACTTGGGTATAATTTCTTTTGGTATACTATTTTTCTCTCTGCTCTTTAAAGATGTTAAAGCATTATCTTCTGGCTTCCATGGTTTCTATTGAAAAGTTAGCTATCAGTTTTGTTGTTACTTTGAAGGCAATGTGTCTTTTTTCTTAGACTCTTTTCAAATATTTTCTGCATCTTTAATTTTCATCACTCTGAATATGATGTCCCTAGATATGGTTTTCATTGTTTTTATTCTTTTTAGTGTTCTCTGTTCTTGGAACTGATGGTCAATATCTTTGATACATTTGGGGAAATCCTCAGCTGTTATCTCTACAACAATTGATCTCCTTTCCTTCTGGGACTTCAATTACACATAGATGGGATTATTTTACTATGTCTTGCGTGTCTTTAATGTTTTATTCTGTTCTTTCCACTCTTTTTTCCTTACGTTTGTGTTTTAGTTTGGGCTTAAACAAAAATAAAACAAAACAAAACTGATCTTGTCTTTGAATATACCATGCTCCATATGCTGTTAAGCTCATCCAAAGAGTTTTTAAGTTAAAATGTTACAATTTCAATTCTAGAATCCCCATCTGATTTTTTCTAGCAATTCCAGTTCTCTGCTAATTTCTTAATCTCTTAACCCATTTCTTTTCTATTTTCTTTACTACAATAATTTTTATTTTAAAATCCTTCTCTGCTAATTACCATAATTGAAATGCCTGATGGGTCTGCTTCTATTGCTTGATTTTTTTTTCCTCTTGGTTATCAATCACATATTTTCATGTTAGTAATTTTGAATTGTATTGTAGAGAGTGGGTATTGAAAACACACCAAACAAAATTTAAACAAAACAAATAAGAAAATCCAGAAAATGTTCAGATGAAATCTTCTACCAGCAAGCGTTCCTCCTTTCCTCTAATAGGCAGACAGAGGCTGAGCAGGGTATGAGGTTAGGTTGCACTTTTCAGTAAGTCTCAGCTCACCTCTGGTTTGTCCCTATTCTTTGCAGAAGTCACTTTTGGGCTCTAGATTGGGAAATCTAGCAGGTCCCGTCTCCTCAGCCGTAAAAGTTCTGCTCTTCAGAGGTTTTGAGCTTACATCTTCCATTTCCACTTCACACAGTTTCAAAATCTGGCAAATGGTTTAAGGGGAACAACTGCTATGCATTCATTGCAAACCCATATTTCCAGGAGGACTTTGTCTCCTAGCCACAGAAGACTATAAGAGATTCTACTCCCTTTTTCTGTTTGAGTCCCCATAAGCCTTTCCTGCTACCTCAGAGCATAAGGGAATGAATCTGCATTTTGCACTTCTTGGTTTTCTAATCCATTTTTACAGTCCCACATAGAAATAAAGAGAATCCACCATGGAAAAGACTCCATCTGAAATGGAGAACAATTTTGGAGTCCTTGTTTTAGCAGTCCGAGTGACCAGTCCTCAGACATTCATGTTGAAAAACCTAGCTGAGGTCTTTTGAGTCAGTCATAAAATCTACTTGCTTATTTCTTTTTTTCTTACATTGTTTGAAAACAGGATTTAAATTGGAGTACCAATGATAAGATTACAGACAGGGTGGTAATGTGAAGAATTGGAAGGCTGCTATCAAAAAACTGATTCTCCTTGGCAGGTGGGTATTGATAACTGACACTGATCAACAGAGCAACTGACACAAAGACTGAGTTCATATCTTTTGAAAACATAAAAAGTAAATGTTTCTATGCTTTTCTGTATCAGGGGAGTTTGTAACTGTTACCTTTCTCCTCTCATTGTTGAGCTAGTCAAGGTTTGAAAGGAAGGAAAGAGAAAGTGCAGAATTAATGATGAGATGGACTCTGGGCCGGGGAGCAGAGACCCCTCCTTCCCCCAAAATGCCCTTTACCCTTCCACCAACACACCAAGCTACATGGTCAGCATGGGTAGGAATACCATTTGAATTTGCAGGAAGTCAAAATTATGAAGAGATACTTTAAAATAAATGTGATGTTTATGCTTCATTTTTAATATGGTAGTAGTATATTTACTTAAGATCAGGCACTTGGTTCTATTCTTGATTGAAATGTTATATCTCTACTCACACCTAGAAGAGAGGTTGCTAAGCAATTTAACAGTGCAAACAAGTAAGGGATTTGGGCTCAGGATCAGTGAAATACTAGTACATTTAGACTTCTTAGTGAAACAAACTGTATTTAAGGTTATTATCACATTATTGCCTACATGCAAATGTGTGCTATTTGTAAATGAGTCACACCTTTTCGTTAAGGAAGACCATCTTATTTATCATTGTGTAGCAATTTCTATGACAAAAAAAATCCCAATTTCTTTCAAATTATCCACTATTGATGATAGCTAACATTTCTTGAGTATTTGCTCTGTACCAGGCATTTTCCAGAACAAGGAATACTTTATGCAAGCTATTGTATTTAATCTTTACAGTAGTTCCCCAAGGTAGGTACTACTGTTATCCTCCTTTTTAATAAGTGAGGAAACTGAGACTGATTAGCCTTAAGTAACTCGCCCAGGGACAAGTAATAAGGGTAGAGCCCGGTTCAGTCTGATCCAAAAGCCCGTGTGCTCATGATTTTGTGCTTATCAAATTGGTCTTTCAGTAGCTCCACAGGTGTCATGCAAATCTTTCTTTCTGAATGATGGCCAACTAGTGGTTTGGTCCCTACACAGCAACTGCATTCCTTCTTTCTGCTCTACTCAGCCAATCACCTTGGTGATCAGTCTTCTATAGTCTCTCTCAGTTAGTGGCGGTCAAGCTGAGTTGCTTGAAGCATAAAAAAGGGAAATGAGCAGTTTTTGGAAGCAGGACCCACCTGGCATCTTCTTTGCTGCAGCACTCTTGCTGGGCTCCAGTACATCTCTTACTAATTACACAGCCTCAGGCTGTTAACTTTGGTATTCCTTATCCGTAAAATTGGAATTATATTACCAATTTTGTAATGTTACTGGGGAAATGAAATACGGTATGTAAAGTACCTAGGTCAATGCAGACACGTGATAGTATTTGTCAAAATGAGCTCCCTTTCCTTTCTTGTTCCTATAATTAGTGCATCCTTATGGGATATCTCTCTTCAAACTTAGCACCTTGTCTATGAGATTTTTGAGTACCTTGTTGATATCCAGACTTTGAATATAACTGGAGGAGCCTTGTGAGATGACTAATATGAGGATATTGTTAGACAAGCGATTATTCACTTCTTGCTTTGTATGCCCCTATAATTCTAGTACTTGTTTTGGAAGTAGTTCTCCACTTTAAATACGACCTGATTTTCCCCTTTGGAGTAAATATTTCCTGCCCTTGCTCTCTCCTGTCCTCAGCAAAGAAGCCCACGATAGCATACCCAAGAAGTGAAATGCAGCATTCCTCCTCTTCATCTGGAGCATTCTGAAGTTGAACAGATGTCTTTAAATGTGGGAACTTTTCTGCTATGATAAATATGTCTTCATGACAAACTCAAGCCACTGACCTCCAGGTGGAGCTGCATGAAAGAGAGAGAGAAGGGAAAAGAGAAGAAACCAGGTTGGCACCCCAGAGAAGCAGATAGCCTGAGAAAGACACAATGAAACACAAAGATGATGCATGGTCCTTAGGGGATTTTCAGGGAAGAGAGTGACATGTGAACTGACTCAGCCAGTTTAATTCCACAACAATTTGAAAAGACTGCCAATGTACTCAGCCAGCCCAGGGTAGGATGCAAGAGAAATGAGACATGGTCCCCAAGGAGTTTGCAGTTTGGGGGAGTGGCAGAACACAGACATGGAGGAAGAACAGCAAAAGACCGATTTCCTAGTGATTGTTGCTTGTTTATTCTTCCAAATGAATAAGTCTTCTAGCTCAAGATTAAAACAAAACAAAACAAAACAAAAAAGACCAATTGCATTTAGTGGTAAACAGTGATGCAGCTTAGGACCTAATTTCATAGGTGGCAGAAAGGCTATTATCATTTTTTGCATGCTGCTACATCCCAGGCACTCAATTAAATAGGTCAAATAAGATTCTCATTTAATTTAATCCTAAAAACAAACCTTTGACATCAGCTCATTTTGATGGTGAGGAAATTGAAGCACAAAGTGATTGAATAACCTGCCTAGGAACCAACAGCAAGTGAACTATAGGATTTCAACTTAGATCTCCCTGAATATAACTCACGCTCTCAGAAGGCACAGAGCCACTTGCTGGCTCATGACTAAACCCTCTCAATTTTTCTATGCCTCAGTTTCCTTATGTAATGAATGGAGCTAGTAATACTGTACTAGAATTGGGGTAATGCTTTGCTCAAACCCTCTTCTCTGGCAATATATCCCTCACCTTAGCCCCTGATGACTGGGTATGTTTGTACTTCAACCACACAATCCTGTCTCCAAATGGAGTCTGCTCAGAGAAAGGTGGACGCCTGACCTAAAAGATGGGCAGGTGGAAGCAGAGACTGACAGGTCCCAGATCTCCTTCATTTTTGTCTGTCCTGAGGCCTGATTGTTCAGTTTTTCCTAGATTCCACCTTAAAATAATCCCCGACCCCCATTTCTCCCTGTTTTCTCGGGCTAAATTGGCCTTCTTTTTGTTACCTACAACCAACAGATCACCGGCTAGAACAAATACTTTCCTCATAGAATTATTGTGAGGAACCCATGAGATAAGGTAAATTACAAAGGGCAAGATTGATGAGCCCATAGCTATTCATCTCAGTGAGTAAAATAGCAATTTGGCCTTTATAATTGGGTCCCGAGATTTTCTGTTTATGGAATGCTTCATTATGTCAAAAGGAGGATATGCACAAATTTCACTTCTACTTTTCCTGCCAGGAGGAATAAAAGTGGCTGATAGTCAGGTCAAACTAAGGATGCACAGCCTCGAGGTTCTTTGTATTCTGGACAGAGTGGCTCCAGGCTGGTCCTCTGGCAACCGCTTTAAATTAGGCTTCCACTAGAGCCAGACTTTACCCTGTGGAATCTTCTAGAGCGATTCATAGATCGCCTGACTGAAGGACGGATCGCCTGACTGGCCGGCTGGCCACACTGCTATCTCTACCTGTGTGAACGTTCTGAGAGGAGCGTGCAACTCAAATCCAACAAGTTGTTCCACCGAGGAGATGTCTTACTTGATTTGGTTCAATTGCATGAACTGGTCGTGTCATTCAAAATGGCTAAGTAACGGCATAGACATATAAGCACAGCTCAAGAATACAAAGCTGCTTCTTTTAAAAATAAAATACACTTCACACTGGATGTTTCAAAGCTAGGTTATTTAACATCACAAATGCTTTATCTTTGGGCCAATGATTCAGTGGATTTGAAGAGCTGGTCTGAAACAGCATACTTTCTGCTGCCATTGTATTTCTCACATGGTTGTATATTGCTTTATTTGTCATGGACCTCAGGGTGCCAAGCCACCCTTTGTGTCTTGATAACCTCAATAGCTCTCAGGTTAAGGTGAAGCCATTTTAACCAGATAAGAATTACCCTGTTATTCTTTCTCTACACGCACCCCACATTCTCCTATTTTGTGGATTGCATTGCTGGGCCCTCCAACCCCAGTCACGCAGCAGCAGAAGCAATATTTTTTGTATGCTTCCCCCCACCTTTTGGTTGCTTTATTATTTAACTCAGACCATGTAAATCACCAGTCAGAAGGTGGCCTTTGAATGAACCTCATTCTAAATCTCAATTGACTGGTATAAAGACGGTCAGTATATTTTCCTACTACTTTTCACGATCTCACTTTCTTAGCTTTTGCCCAGTAGGAACAGTTATGATTCTTTAAAATAAAGTGTCTTTTGTTGGTATTATTAAGGGTTACTCCCCCTGCACTCCAATAAAGCAGTAGGTCAGTGCTTACTCTTGTGGGAAAATTTTGGAAGAGGTTCACAAGAGATGATCTGTGATGGCCTTTATTTAATCCATAAGATTTCTCAGAAGAGAATGCTGAATCTTTCTTTGTGGTTGGTGTCTTTGAATTACCAACCTCATCAGAAAAAGAAATTGCGCCATCATCTCCTATCATGGATTTCATTGCGTGCACCAGACAGAAATCTCTTTTTAGAACAGCCTTCTCCTAGATGGGTCATGGAGGGGGTGGCACTTACCCAGTTGCCTGCTCTGTGTCCTAGAATCTTGGTGGCAAAGGTCAGGTAGGGTCAGTCCAGGCCAGATATCTGTCTATAACTATCCTGGATGGGTTAATCTGAGACTTCATTAATTCAACAATATCTATCCACTAAGCCTGTGAATGATAAATATATACAAATATAAAATAATAGTGAACAATTATCAAGTATTGACTATATTCCAGGCCTGAATCCTATCTTATCCTCTGAGTAAACCTATGCGGTGATAACAGCTATGATTTATTGAGACCTTATATGTGCCAGGAATTATATCAAGTGTCATCTATACACTAACTTATTTATTTAATCCTCTCAATAACCCTATGATGTGGGTATAATTTTTCGACTCATTTTATAAATTAGGAAATTGAGGTACACGGAGAAATTAGGTAACTTGCCCCTGTCCTACAGCTGGCAAGTGGTGAAGCTGGGATTTACACCCAGCAGTCTGATTTCAAATCCTGTGCAATAAACTACAATTGCGCCTGCAAATAATACTTAGTGGACATGGACCAGTGAAAATTTCCAGTTGCTTCTGTGACTAAGGGAACAGCTGCTGCTTACACATCTGAGAGCATATCGGGTTCTACTGATCCTCACTGTGGCCCCCTACACTGTTTTTGCCACAGGCAGCATGTGCAGAAACGGTGGTAGCTCCTTGAGGGGACTTGTTACTACCTGGACAGTTTTCTCCATCTCTGCTAATGTGATTTCTCAGGCTTCCCTTTAAATACAGTCTTTGTCTGTTGATTTCTATGGAGATTGGCTCTCCCAATACTTTCTGCAAAATACCTGCCTCTAATTGCCAAGAAATGCCTTTCTCTGGGTTTGTTTACATGGCCCTGTGGCTCTGTCTGCTCAGACAGTGCCCCTGGTGCCCTTTCTCTGTTCCTTTCCTCTATTAGCATTCTCTGCCACATTAAGGCTGTGAAAAGAGCCATGTTTCTCTGCCATTGCTAGGAAGAAACATTTTAATATTGAGATTTCAACTAAAAAGTGAATGTCCAATTGGGCACCTCTCATGTGATAATAATTTAATCTCCCCCAGTAATAATAACTTAAGAGTGTTCTGATTTGTTTTAAGCATTTTATACCCAATATAAACTAGGTTACATAAAAAATGGGCGTACTGCCTTCTACATTGAGACAGAGTAGTAAAGAGGAATGGAAATAGGCTTTGGTGTCAAGCAAACCCAGTTTGACATCCCAGTTCTGGAACGTACTGCCTGTGTGGCCTTTAGCCACTTACTGAACTTTTCTGAGTTTTCTTCTTCCATATAGCAGAGATAACAACACCTCACAGAACTTTTGAGTGTCAAAAATTATAGTAGATGTGATGTTCTTGGTGTTGACTAGGTATAAAATTGTTTTGGGTTTTTTTCCATCAACTTTCCTGTTCTGCAATATTTGGTTACTATATTTAACCTCTCTGGAACTCACTTTCCTCATTTTAAAACTGAGGTCTCTGGATAAGTAGCCTGCCCAAGTCTCTTCTAGCTCTGTCTCCTATATCAATATTTGTAAATGTGCTAAGTGCTCTCTCTCTCTTTTTTTTTTTTTAGCTGAGCCATCCTGACACCTGTTGGCAGCTCAACTAGGGCTGGGACTCCAACTGCTGTTGCTCAGAGCTCACACTCTTGAGCGAGCTCTTAACCAACTGAGCCACTCGGCCGGCCCTAAGTGCTCTCTTTATGTTACCTCCTAGGATCCTCTTAACAACAATTTGGGTTAAGCTCTGTTATTAATTCGCATTTTATAGATGAGGAAACTGAGACTCAGAGAGAACGACTAACTGGTTAGGCTGGGGAGTGAGGATGTGAACCCAGAGTCTGCACATTAAGGCTGAAAGCCATCGTACTCCATCCTTGAAAAGTGGTTGCTCAGCAATTGCTCTCAATGCTCTTGAGCATTCAGACCATGTGCCACCTACACTATGACGTGGTGGGACATGTCCTGCCCAGTGGATTTCCTAACAGGGCACAAATCCAAAAAGGTAGGCATTTCATTGGAATGACAGGACAGTGCCTCACACAGGACACATGCAGTTGACAAGGTATTACTGAATTGCTGACTGATTGGCTAGGTGGCTCACCAGACACCTGACCAACCAGTTGAGATACGTAAAAGGCAAACATTGTGACTAAATTGACTGCTGAATGAAATATCCGAAAAAGATGTCTGTGTCACTTTTTGGTGGTATCAGGGCATCTGTCTATAGCAGGCAAATTTCTTGCCTCTAATATATTATGGATTTAGAAACCAGCTAACCACACTTGTTAGAATTTTGCTTCTTTAAATAAGAGTAAAAATGTTCTGCGGAAGTGCCTGAGCAGCTCTGGGAGAAGTGTTAGGGCTTGGAGATTGTGATATTTCAGTGTCATCAGAGAGCAGGAAAAGCCTTTCAAAATAATTTGAAGCCTATTAAATGTTTATACTAATTTACATACATAAACACATAGATGTTTATGTCTGCCACACACACATTTGGCGTTGCTTAAATGTTCTGTTC